GTTGGGTTGTTGGATGGTAGAGGTGGGAGAGGTGCGGCAAAGCTGGCTAGGAGAAGGAGAGATGTCAACAGATCAATCTGAGATTGATTGCCGATCAGGACATTGGTGACATCGTGGAGATCACGAACAACCATGATGACAAGGAGAACGAGACCATTGCCGGGGAAACCCAATCATCCCATCACAGTATAGATTAGGGGTTCTAAAACCTTTTCCTTGACGGTCCAGATTCGTTTTCCATGAAAGCTAAAGGGTCCGCGAAACGATTGAAAAATCTAGTTTATACTTTTTAATCAATCATTATCATTACGAACAATTCTTAGACTTGGCAAATTGATAGAGTATCTCATAAAGAATAACCCAATTCATTATCTATATGGCTCAAATGGGCTTTAAATGATAACTAATTGACTATTTACATGGCCGTGAAGTGACAATACTGCATTGTGTACAGTACTAATTCATAACGAATTCTTTATGTTAGATTCGCGCAGTGCGGCGATTTTTGACACTTCCATTAACCAAGGTACCCTTTGGTCGAAATATATATTTGGTATCACAAGATAGGGAGCCGGGTGGATTCTGCCCATTTAAGATTAAAAAAACAAAATCAAGAACTCCCGGACGGTCTGGATTGACGTGCCCCGCGGTCCGGTTGCAGACCGTGGTCCGGACTTTGAGAAGATGTAGACTGTCGTACCTCTAACAACGCTGATCAGTAGACTTCCACCCTTGATCTTTCTTCCGTCAGTTGAATTTAAAAAGCTGATATTCATTTTGTACAAATGAGTCAAGCCAGTGCACTGGCCAGTGCATTAACCTGTATATTTTCTTCCAGAATATTTGTCTTTATATCATACAAAATAATGTGGTGCATACAAATTAACAATCAACAAATAACTAGTCACCAATAAATAGTGAGGCAAATGAACCTAAATCATTTTGAACTAGCTAAAGAAATACAACGAATCTGGTTTGTATAGATAATTGAAAGTTGTAGGGACCTCATAATAACAATAATAATAATAATAGTAACAATATTTATAAAGCGCAACATATCCATCTCTAGAGATGCTCAAGGCGCATAAAAATGATTAAATTAATATTCAACGTAATTAAGATTAAAGAAATATAAAATGTTAACTAACATTAGATCCCACATCTTCATGGTGCCATGGTACATACAATGTGACACAGTGTGATTATTCACTTTGCATGTATTGTATAAAAAAAAAATTGGAATTTAACAATATGCATTAAGCATCAGTTGAGTTTTAAGCCCAGTTTTAAAAGTAGAAAGAGTGTTGGCCATCTGAATAGAGAAAGGTAACCTTTTTTTACAAAGAAGAAGCTGCTGATGCAAATGCTCTATCCCCCCAATTCTTGTGGTACGTATTTCTTTAAGCCTAATATTATGTGATGCACGTAAACCAGAACGACCTGCGGAGTGGGGTGATAGAGTATAGGTAAAGAGTAGAATTGTATAGATCACACGCTGTTAAAGAGGGAGCCAGTGCAGAGATTTCAAGATAGGAGTGATATGTGATGATTTTTTAGAGTTAGTTACAAGACGAGCAGCAGCATTCTGAACTTTTTGCAATCGGTTAATTTGGTTGGCTGGTAGTCGAAAGAGTAATGAATTGCAATTATCGAGAGGCGAAGTAACAAAAGCATGTACTAACTGTTGGGTGGATTGACGTGAGAGATATTGCCTTATTGCCCGGATATTACGTAGATTAAAATTGGCCAGTTTAACACAATTTGAAACATGGGTTTCAAGTGACATGGCAGAATCAAATATTACACCAAGATTCCTGGCTTGATGTACAGGAGATACAGGGGCAGAACCAACTTGAACATGAGAAACCTTAATTTTATTGAGCTGTCTACTGTCGCCAAGCAAAATGAATTATGTTTTTGCATCATTTAGTTTTTATAAGCGACTGTCAGTCATCCAGTTTCTTACATCAGCTATGTAGTTTTCAATATTCTTCACATTTTCATCTATTTCTCTCTGGACAGGCTTGCAAACAAAATAAAGCTGTAATTCATCTGCATACATATGATAATTGATATTGTGTTTCTTAACAGTATGCTGTATGGGCAGAGTATAAACATTAAACAATTGCGGACCGAGAACAGATCGTTGGGGGACTAAAAAATATAAACTAACTGAAGCAGAGGTAGCATCACGGATACAAACTTCTTGTGATCTACTAGAAAGATATGACATAAACCACTTCAAAATCACATCATTGAGACCTATTTCCTTTAATCTATTTAGCAAAATGCGATAATCAACAGTATCAAAAGCACTGCTGAAATTAAGCAGTACTAAACTAGAGATACTTCCATTATCCATACCAATTAATACATCATTGTTTACCCGAAAGAATGCTCTTTCCACGCTATGTATCTCCATGTATGCTGACTGGAAAGGATTTTGCAAATTCTCATTCTTTAAGTGGGACTGTAAACATCCAGAAACAACTCTTTCTATCACCTTGCCTAGGTATTTCAGATTAGCAATTGGTCTATATTTTTTCAAATCCTGTCTGTCAAGAGAGGGGTTTTATAAGGGCATGTTGTAAACTTTCGGGAAAGAATCCACACTTTAGAGATTTATTAACTATCTGAGTGATATAAAGAACAAAGTCACTGAAAAATTCTTTAATTAGACAAGTTGGTATAGGATCTAAATCACAAGAAGACACAGAGGAATTCATGATGATTTTTCTAATTTCGGTACATGTGGCAAGAGCAAATTCTGACACGCCAGTAGAAGGGACAGGAACAATTTCTGAAAGGGTGTCAGTACTTCTGTAAGAACATAAACCAGTTAACTCTTCTCGAATACTTCTTATCTTATCTACAAAATAATCACAAACACGGTTAAATAAAACGATTTAATTAAATTAAAAAAAAAAGAAAAAAGAAAACAAATAAAACTCAATGGGGGGGGGGGGGGTTTAATCCCCCCCCCCGTGTACGCGCCTGGTCCAGGTAGAATGGCGACATCTGAGAGAACATTTCCCGATTCTCGAGATATAAAAAGATCCAATCTGTGTCCATAGCGATGAGTCGATTCCAGAGAGAGAGAGAGAGGAAAGAACAGGCGAGAGAAAGCGCAGTGTAAATACAAGCGAAAAACATTAATGAGGAAAAAGACGTGGCGATATTTGAGGAGCTTGGTTCCAAAAGGTACTACATCCATGTTGTTATCATCAATGTACACATTTCCAGTAGCCTCATACACTGATACTTACACAAAAAAGGCATTTAAACGTGGTTCGGTTCCAAAATGTACTATATCCATTCAAGTCATGCATTGCAACTTGCAAACAGCAAGATTTCGGTTCCAAAACGTACTACATTCAATTACGGGTCTAGAATTAAGGTACTACATTCACAAAAATTAAAAAACATAAATTCATGACAAATATTTGTGCAGATTTAGATCTTTTTAAAGATTGGTTTTATATTTTTATTATATAATAGTATAATCAGCTAAAGTATCATTCCAAACTGAAATTGCTGACTATGATAACTAAACAAAATAAAAATCGTGTTTTTCTCAGAACTCTGCTTTATGGATGTACTACCTTTTGTAACCGAGCTCTTTATAGCAAGAACATAAAACTTCATCGGTTTACGAGGGGTAGAAAAGGAAATGAGCGAAAAGAGGGTATACAAAAGCATCAACTATGTGAACGGGGTATATGTATACATGAGTAGTTTTCCCAATGTATCCGGAGTGCATTGATAGAAAAGATACTCGTGCAGGAGTAAAGCAATTTTGTGTATCGCATATAAAGCATTCATATCAGAAATCTCTAAGGAATCTTTCTTTATTAACATCGATTTTTTTTCTCCTTGACATTCAAAAGCGATTTTTATGATATGGGAAAAAAATATTCATTTTAAACACATGCAGAATCCACCTAATCGAAGAGTTTTCCTAAGGTATCCGGAGTGCATTGATAGAAAAAATACTCGTGCAGGAGTAAAGCAATTTCGTGTATCGCATATACAGCATTCAAATCAGATATCTCTCGGGAATTTCTTCTTTATTAACATCGATCTTTTTTTCTCCTTGACATTCAAAAGCGATTTTTATGATATGGGAAAAAGATATTCATTTTAAACACATGCAGAATCCACCTAATCGAATAGTTTTCCTAAAGTATCCGGAGTGCATTAATAGAAAAGATACTCGTGCAGGAGTATTAAAAGCAATTTTGTGTATCGCATATACAGCATTCAAATCAGATATCTCTCGGGAATTTCTTCTTTCATAACATCGATTTTTTGTTTTCTTCCTCGATATTCGAAAGCGATTTTTGTGATATGGGAAAAAGATATTCATTTAACACACATTCAGAATCCACCAAATCTATATGGCTGAAAGTAATTCACTAGCAAATACATTCAAAGGTCAAGTTATGAAATGAAACCGTTGTACCCGAGGATACCGGGATGGTTTAGTCGTCAACTTTTGTCATCATAATTCATTATGTAATTTAATAGAGCAATTCATGAAATCTTTGAAAAGGGAAAATACGTGCTTCCGCTCTTGCCCCTCTCCAGTTGGTTCTATTTAGGCTCCCTGAATTGTCTATATAAGCGAGAATTCATCCTTTTTCAGGTATGTGCCACGGAGTGAAGAAGCCATTTCTCTATCAAAGATTATGTCTAAGCGATAGGTATTTCCTGAAATACAATTGGTTTATTTCTTTACCTAATGTAAAGAGGTTCATTTAGATTTACAGGCACAATTCAGGGGAACGTTTTGATCATTTAGTTCTATAGGATACCCAAACAATTTTAGTTTTAGTTTCGTATCTGAGAACCTCATCAAAAGTTAAAAATACCTTCCCTCCATAATTGCGGAATAATTTTTGCACAAAATGGAAACTAACTTTTCGAATTTGACTAATGGAGGGCAGGTTGAATCTAGAAGTCAAACGACAACAGCTATTACAAATGCAATCTATATTGTGATGGGTTTATTGGGCGTGTTCGGCAATGGACTCGTTCTCCTTGTCATCGTGGTCGTTCGTGATCTTCACGATGTCACCAATGTCCTGATCGGCAATCAATCTTTGATTGATCTATTGACGTCTCTCCTTCTCCTAGCCAGCTTTGCCGCACCTCTACCACCTCTCCCAACCAACAACCCAATACTTGCTCGGTTCATCTGTGCATTTTGGCACTCCAAGTTTCTTTTCATGTCCATGCTCGTTGCTAGTTCGCTCAATCTAACGTTAATGACATTGGAGCGTTACTACGCCATCGTATTCCCTCTTCATTACCACAGTCGGACCAAGTCAGCAAGGTTCATCTGCCTTGTCGCTCTACCCTGGTTATCTGGATTCGCCTATCAGCAAACCTTCATGTGGTTCACGAGGGTGGACCAAGATCAGTGCATGGTGCTCCAGTTCCCAAGCGATGCGACAAGAACTGGTTTCGCTTTCGGCGCCGCGTTCCTGCAGCTTGTCTTGCCGCTCGCGGTCATGGTATTCGTGTACACCTCCATATCCATCAAGCTGAAGTCATCGGTGGAGGAACAATTCAACAAGAGAACCAGCAAGACCAGAGGAACGGAAACATCCGTTTCGCAAACCCGTGTAACTCGACTCGTCGACCACCGAAGCCGTGCCCGAAGAAATGTACTCAAAGTAATGGTGACTGTGAGTGTTTTCTTTATTATTTGTTGCCGAACAAAATAATAGTTTTTGCATATTGTTTCGGATATGATTTAGATTTCAACGGCTTGATCTACATGTTTTGTATGTTGATTGCTTTCGCGAATATGTGGGTCAATCCCTTTATATATTCCTTTCAATATCGAAGATTTCAGAAAGGTTTAAGGAAGGTATTTTGTCGATGGATAAAAGACACCAAGTTCAAGAAAACAACAGGGGTTTCGAAAACAGTTTCTGAAACTGTTTGACATTGATACGTTGATGCTCAATCATCATTTAAATGTCACTTCTCAGTCACACCAACAAAGTTGAGACCAAAACGACAAACTGACCAATAAGACGAGTATATTAAACGGATCGTTAAGTTCTTGTTTCAGACCACAAATGCCTTCAAAGTGCATGGCTATTGCCCTTATTCTAATTTGTGACATATCTAGTGCTCTTTTAGGACCTAAAATTGCTATGATGGTAATTTTAGACCCAAGAGTGTCTGAAATTTAGCCAATACGATCATCCGCATTCAGCTCCTCTTAAACAAAAATACGATGACCGTTAATTAATCAATAAATAATAACAATACAATGCGTATTATAACCAAAACTAAAAAGCCAACAAAAAGTCAGCATCGGTATTGGCTGGAATAAAACGTATGAGGCGCTCTCTCGTTTTTCAACGGCTGCCTCAAATTATCAAATATTTTGTGGGGCACCACAAATATTAGTTATCGTTATATATATATATGGATATTCCAGCTGTCTCTGTTTTGATTTTGTTAAAAAAAGACGATTTAGTTATTTAAATTGTATGTTCTTTTAATTTGGTATTCACTTTTTTTTTTATTATCTCACAAAAAATATTTTGTGAAGCGCCCTCTGCAACAAAACTCAACTTTCCCTTTAATCTCAATGAAAAAAGTCAGTCACTTTGTGTTGGTGTGGACTGTGGGTTTGGTGTTACCGAGTTATATTGATGAATAACGATGAATTTATTTGCTGTACATACCCGAACAAATGTAACATATAAACGTGATTGAATTGGAATGAGACATATTTACATTTGTTTTTTTATTCAAGTTTTGGGTTTTCGAGGAATCAATTTAGTACTGAGTTTATCTATATTAATGTAAACTTGTATATACTAGCGTGAATTCAAGATTGTATTAAAAAGGCCTAATATTCCAATCAGCGAATGCCAATGGTCTATTCTGCTTTACCCTAGAGAAAAAAACACATGTTTTGTGTGATGTTGAGGTGGGGAAGTGTAATTCACGTTTTATTTGGAAGTTGAAAACTGATATGTTGCGTTTAATTTTGAATGTTGAAAGTGTGAACATCGAGAATCCAACGTTGATAATAATAACACACTTTGTAAAACAAATATTGTAAAATAATAGATGAACCCCATATGCATTTGGAAGAAGAGGTATTATCTCTATGTGTGAGAACACTGTATCTAATTCAATATAGAGGACTGTTAGGTGTCTTCTGATAAAGATTGCATCCTGAAAAACCTTTGATGAAACTTTGAATTTGATTACATCCTTCTGGTATCAACGATGTTGTTTCTTCTTCTTTTTTTCTCCCCTCCTCTCCCCCCCCCCAAATAAACAGTTAATTTGTCTTGAACATATATGTTAAGACTAGATCTAACTTACGAAAACCATGCGAATCTAATATTTAAACATTTTAATGTTTTGTATTAGAAACATGTGTTACAACACAGAACTTTACAAAACAACAGACTGATTCCTTTTCATTCAACATTCAGTCTTTCACAGATCTTTTGTTAACAGTAGTCATAATTATTTAACTTTCTGTCACATTTATGTACTTCTAGATTCTAGACTTTCTACATAATCCGGAATACAACATTTTTTACTTGCACTTTGGTTCTCAAGACATCAGAACAAATTCTAAATTCTAATAAAAAGAAAATTCAAATTTTACACAGAAATGTAAAAAACCCCTGCTAATTCCATGACGAAATAAAACAATCACGTATCTTGTATCATTAACCTATTAAAATCTAAGCAATGAAAGTTGATTTTTTTTTTCTCCTTTGAAATTTACCATATTATATATTGGTAATACATGACATATTATTCTGTCATTTCCACCATAAAGTTTGAATGATGGTGATGGTGCTTATTTTACCTGACTGCTAAGAAAGCATAATAAATGCTTGTAGGTAAGCAACCAGACGGTCGACGGCTTTAGGTCCTCTCCGAGGGACCTGGTAATGCGCATAGAGACATACCTTGTATAATGCGCTTTAGAAATATAATTTATTATTATTATTATTATTATTATTATTAATGCCTCACCAAAGGGCACTAGCGCATCGACTTGGTTTCGGACCCGGGTTACCGAATTACGAGACCACTGCTCTACCGACTGAACTATCGCACCTCCTGTAGGATGATTTATAACGATTTTTTTCTCTAGATCTCACACAAATTGTGTACACCCTTGACATGTTGAATATATGTATGTACATGTATGTTGCTCAACATGGTAGTAAAGGTCCTCAAAATCTATATTGAAATAGCGCCACCTTGTGCCCAACTCATCCCACAGACAAGCAGTGAAAACATTGGACTGATTTGAGATAATTTCCCAAATTCCAGGGCATCCTGTATACCTGGTATTTCAATTAAGTGCATAAATGAGGCAAAGCGTTTTCGCTGTGACTGCATTTTTAGGCCGAAACAAATAACCAATAGACAAAGGTCGAAGAGAAGTGGGGAGGATCTCATGTAAATGTAATGATTCCTTCAAATCATATTCATGCTGGTTAATAGAAAAGTTTAGTTACTTACTCTTAGCCTTAATAAATTGATATCTTCACTAAATTTAGCTCTGCAAGATAAAAATACTCACACTCTGATACACGTGCAGCTAGCAAGCAATTTGGGCTTTGTTATGCATGCTGACCTTGAGGGCGCTGGATGCCCAATACCAGTATTAAAAACAAGGTTTCTAGTCGCAAGAATAATTGTGAGGTTGTTTAATAAACATGTAATTGTTTATTTCTAAAGACAGTCGGCTCGACTTTTGTATTTATTCAATCAATTAAATAATTGATTTTATTTATCTATTAATATTATCATTATTATTATCATTATTACTATTATCATAACTATTATTAGTGTCATTATCATAATTTTGTTTAAATATTTTTTTGTGTGTTTGTGGGATGGGGGTCCGGTTTCAAGACAAGGGAAATGTAAAGGGGCGAGGAGCATTTAGAGAAATACGTAGTGGACTTTCTGTGGATCTGGATAACTTTATTTATCTAATCATTTCTTAAATTTCCAAGTCACTTCATTTGTCATTACAATATCCTTCACGCACGATGAGGGTGCTCGATCTCCTCTTGAAATTCACAAGCGAGCTGGTCAGTTTGCAGCGAAAAAGTGGTATCTCTATTATCTTTCTCTTTCTCTCTCTCCGTCTCTGTGTTTCAGCTCATTACATAGCTCTCTATCTCTCTCTCTCTTCCAGCTCCCCTCTCTTCTTTTCTCCCTCCCTTGTATCTGAGTGTAGTTGTCTCACTCTATATTTAAAAGACTTTTCCGTCTCTGGCAATCTATGTCTGCTCCTCCTCTCTTTCTCTATAGGCACACCCTACATTAAGTTATCACATATCTGAATATCTAAATTCACTGTCACCTATAGCTATATATTTGTATCTCTGTCTCTCTCTTTCTTTATCGGTCTCTCTCTATCTCTCTCTCACACTCCCTCTCTCTCAAACCTGTACTATTGAATGACGACAGAAAAAAATATCATAGAATGCAATGCGACTATGAATACATTTGCCGAAGTTTTTATTAGATGATAATAGGGCTTAATAGTGCGGATAACGAATTTCTTGGTTGAACCAAAAGTTGGTCTGCATGGTGACAAGGCAGGAATATCCTATATAATATCTTGTTGCACTCTGTTATCTTGCTCCATCATAATTACTTTCATAACTTTGTTATATTGGTAATACGAACTACCCCGCCTACAAACCTCAGTTCACAGGTTGCATTTACAAGATAAACAACATTAAAGCCTCTCTAAAGTGGTGGGAGCCCCCAACATTTGATTGCAAAGTTTCACTTAAATTGTATCATAATGTGAAAGAGGATTTAAAAAACACACTAGTATCTTTTAAGTCGATTATTCATGAAAGAATACAATTTTGAGGTTTTCTGCGTACAACAGAAAACACAAGTTATGTATTCTATTATCAATACTTGTCTTCAAACACATTAGCAGGGGGGGGGGAACTTTGCAGAAGTGTGTTTTATATGACATCCTCTTTCACATGATGATACAATTTAAGTGAAACTTTGCAATCAAATGTTGGGGGCTCCCACCACTTTAGAGAGCATACAGTGTTTATATATGTATATATATAAGATAGATTTTTCGGATTCGGGGCGATTCGGGAGAATCGCGCAACAAATTGGTCCAACGACGACTCGCAAGAGCCGCCCAACAAATTGGTCCAAACTTAAACACAGAACTTTAAATAACATTGGCTTATTTCTAAACTCTCCTTCATAAACAAACAGGTATAGTTTCTTAAAGTTAATATAAAGTCCATTACCAATTATTTATAAACATGAGTATTAACTTGTGTGTATATATATATATTATATAAAGACTTATTAAATTTGTAACAGTGGCGATAGTATTATTGATGTAAAGAAAGAAATGATTAAATGAAGTTTTTGTTCTTGTGTTCAAACTAAAATCTTGTCTCAAACAAATGTGTTCTTTTTTTTGAGTGTCAATTTAGTATTCCATTTACCTGTATTTCTATAGTCATATATTTTGACTGAAACGAATTAGGATTTTATAAGATACATCGCTTCTATCTCTCTAATTCCACGAGATATGGCCACAAATACCAGGCTCGCCGTGAGGGAAGGTAGGGGCGATGCGGTCGACGCCCTCAACGAGGGTGACGGCCGGTACAAAAATGGTGTCAGAAGTGGGATGGAAATACAGGTAGAGACTAATGAAATTGAGGAAAACACATCCAAATTGAACCAAAATAATGAATGGGAACAAGATGAACTTGAAGAAAATTTGGCAAAGTGTCAGAAAATGGAAAATGACTCGAATAATTCTTCAGAAGAAGAAACCACACAAGTGAAGAAATCTAATTCTAGAAAGAAACGAAGCATGCAAAACAGAATTCTTTCTAGACTAACCCAACTAATGGAACAAAATGATGACTTTGACTAACAAATCTCGTACGCGGCAACGCGCTGGTTCAAACTCTTCTACTGAAGGAATAACTGATGCCAGTTCTATTGACAGCGAAGTGATGTTGAACTTCGACAAACACACCAACGACAAAACTAACAAACAAAACAATGCCAACTCTGCAGAACCAGAACAAAACCAAACCAAACTTGCAGAACCAAAACTAGAACGAAACGAAACTAATCCCGAACAAAAACAAACACAGAACCGAACGCGGTCAAACATAATGCCCGACAAATATGATGGTAGTTCGGATTGGCACGATTACGAAACTCACTTTGATTCATGCAAACTAATCAATGACTGGGAGGATGAAAACGCAGTCAAGTACTTGTCTGCTAGTCTTAGAGGACCTGCTCTAAGATTGCTCAATGAACGTCCACATAAACATTGGACTTATGACGACTTGAAAGCAAGACTATCTCTAAGATTTTCTTCCTCTAAACAAGCAGAAACCTATCTGCTGGAACTGCGTGGTCGCAAAAGACGACCAAATGAATCGCTCCAAGAGCTCGGACGAAACATTAGAGAATTGACAACGAAAGCTTATCCGGATTTTGATTTTGACGGAATTGACCGTCTTGCTAAAATCCACTTTACGGATTCAATTCAAAGCCCAGAGATTCGAACGGGTATTTTCCATGCCAAATCAAAGACCTTAGATGATATGATTGAAGCTGCAATCACCACAGAGACATTTCTGTTAACTGAATCTGAGCGTTCTTGGAAAAAGAACACTCATAATAGAATTGTTGGCACAGAACAAGCGAGTAAAAGTGACTTACAAAGAACTATTGATATTGCCGTTGAACAAGCCTTGCTTAAACAAAACAACCAGCAATGTCAAAACGACAAATCCACCAGAACTAACAAAAACGACCAAACCGAAACGTTCATGTGCTACTATTGTCAGAAACCAGGTCACATTGCAAGAAACTGCTTCAAGAAACAATCTGACATGACACAGGCACCTACTAACGAACAACAACGACCTAGAGGAACACAACAAAACTTCCGCCAGACACGAGGCCATTTAAACGAAAATGGGCCGCCCATGGGGGCACTGGCGCGGCCAAACCAACGTTAGAACCTGCCCAAATACATGGAAACGAAAACTATGATAACATGACTTCAACTAACCTTCCTTTGAGCAATTCGAACTGTAATGGTTTATTTGTAAAAGTTAGTATCCATGGCCAAGAGCATAGATTTCTGATTGATACTGGAGCCTCTGATTCTTATATATCTAAACAAGTTTATGAGAACATTCCTAGTAAGGATAGACCTTCGTTGCGAGAATCAGATAAGAAAGCAAAACTTGCTAACAATACCCCACTGCCCCTATTTGGTGTTGTGGCACTTGAATTGAAGATAGGCCCAACTTGCGGGTTTACTAAGTTGTTAGTCGCAGATATAAGTAATGATGGAATTCTGGGCCTAGATAATTTGTGCAAGATGGGTGCCAAATTTATGGTGGCCCTGAAGGGACATCGCGAATAGACTAAATCGTGAAAAATATGCGATAAAATTCACGATATCGTCAATTTTATCGCATATTTTTCACGAAGAAATTCACGAAATTGACGATATCGTGAACTTTATCGTGAACTTTTCACGATGAAATTGACGATATCGTGAATTTTATCGTGAAAAGTTCACGATATAAAGTTTACGATATCGTCAATTTTATCGTGTACTCTATCGTGTACTCTATCGTGTACTCTATCGTGTACTCTCCTGACGGGCGCTTCGTAAACAAAACCAGCCCTAGCTGGGGGAGACAGAGAGAAGGAAAAAAGGGAAAGGGAAAGAGAAGATAAAAGGAAAGAAAGAATAATAAGAAGAAAAGAGGGAAACGGGGGGGGGGGGGGGGGGGCGAAGGGCTCTTGCCTCCTCACTCCCCCCCCCGCCAAAAAATAAATAAGGAGAGAGAGAAGGGAAAAGGAAAGGGAAAGAAAATATAAAAGGAAAGAAAGAAGAGGAAGAAGGAAAGAGGGAAACGGGGGAAGGGCGAAAGGCTCTTACCTCCCCCCCGCCAAAAAAAAAAATAAGAAAGAGAGAGAGAGAGAGAAGGGAAAGGGAAAGAAAGAAGAGGAATAAGAGGGAAACAGGGGAAGGGCGAAGGGCTCTTGCCTCCTCCCCCGCCAAAAATAAATAAGAGAGAGAAGGGAAAGGGAAAGAAAATATAAAAGGAAAGAAAGAAGAGGAATAAGATTTTCTGCTTTGCTGATGCTGCTTCTCATCTGACTAACGGAGGAGAACGAAAAATGCCGAAATGAAAATGAAAATTCTTCCACGCTGATGGATTTTACTAGTCTAGTCTAGGCCTACTATACAGAGGCCTGGTCTAGACCTAGATCTAGACTAGTCTCTAGTACTACTAGGCCTACACTGACACTCAGTACTGACTGAATAAGACCTGAGCTTGAGCTCGAAGTCGGTGGCAGTGAGACACGCAAACACGACGTGGGCCTAGGCTAGATGATACTAGATCATGTAACTGTTAGGCCTAGATCTATCTAGATCTAGACTAGTCCTCGGTCTCAAGAAATTGGTCAAAGCACGCCAAACCATTGCATGAATTTATTAAAAGTTTTTTGTAAATTATTGTAAAAGATCTAGATCTAGAGGTCTAGAATCTAGACCTAGATCTAGTCTAGGGTCTAGACTCTATTCTAGATTTAGAAATTGAAATGGAATAAAATATTTTTCAAAATAGACCTAGGGTCTAGACCTAGATCTAGTCTAGGTCTAGTCTAGGTCTAGTCTAGTACTCTAGACTTTCTAGATCTAGAACTGTTATAGACCTCAGGCTCTAGTTCTAGAATCTAGTCTAGATCTATGTGGTCTAGACCTTTCTAACTTTTTAAACCTACTTTTCATAAATTCATGCCAAGCCCGCGCCGATGGTTTGTTGTGTTGTGTCATGAGACGTTGAGTGTTTGTGTGTCTCACCGTCGCTGAGTTCGAGCACAAGTCTGAGCTGAATGAGAGGTACTTTGTCTTTAGGCCCATCTAGATCTAGATCTAGACTAGACTCTAGTACTGACTGTCGAATGTCTCTACACTCGACTCCTACAAATTTATACTACATCATGATCATGTCTAGGCCTAGAGTCTACATCAATACATTGTTGTACTTGAATTTTGAAGCAAGTTTAAAATCTGTGCAAGCAAATAGCTGTAACGATCCACCCTCACAATATTATATTTGTAAACTGATTTCCATGCTAGCTGTCATATCTTTTATCTGAAACTTCTAAAACATGCAGCTTGAATCATCCCATCCTTTCTTTTCTCAATCTTGTCTTATTTCTGTCTTTTCTCCTCTGTCTCCCTCTCTCTCTCTATGCTCTCTCTCTCTCTCTCTCTCGCTCACTCCGAGATCTTGCATACAGCCAGCCTATTTCTCATCATTCCTTCACATTCTTCATTTATAGGTAAACATTATCTCGATTAACTTTATTCCAGAATTACCGCTGCGAGTTATAGTCTGGATTGTGTGTGTTTTGTGTATAAATACCTGCTTACAAGCAAAAGTTTCTAGTTTGAAGAAGTCTAGTATGAATGGCTTCACGTATAAACACAACCGGAAGCATACGCGTACGTTGCTTCCAACACACTACTCACTAGATCCAATCTATAAATCGTAGTAATATGCCTAAAAATTCATTATTTATGAAATATGTGATTAAGTTGTATATTTATTCAGATAGACAAGCAAATTATCCCTAATATCATATTATTGTCTTAACAATCTCTTGTCAAAAACGTAAGAGAATTCGAGTTTTGTACTTCTTTAGTTTATTAACTAGGATCGGAATTCAGGTTGTGCGGTTTACGCGCATTATGTAAATATGACAGTGAATCCCAAATTCTTGACTTGACTTGACTTACTTGACTTAGGTGCATAGGACGGTGTGTCCCCTTGCTCCCCTACGAGAAATCATGTTCCAGTCTGATCTGTCCTGGGCTCGTTGCTCTGCCTCTTGTGTGGATAATCCCACATCGTATTGAACCTGGTCCTTCCATCTCTTTGGAGGGCGTCCCCGAGGTCTGCGTCCATTAAAGTCATTTTGGAATGCTTGGTATGGTAGGCGGTGATGCGGCATGCGTAAAACATGGCCAAACCATTTCAAGCAACGTTTGGTTATTTCCTCGCATATGGTGCTTGGGATGTTCAGTCTCTGCCTGATCTCTTCGTTCCTAATCTTGTCCATTAGGTGAACTCCAAGGATGGTCCGGAGACACCTCATTTCAAATACTTCAAGCTTATTTCTATCAGATTTTCGGAGAGTCCAGGATTCTGCTCCATATGTGGCAATAGGGAGGATAAGTGCTCTGTAGATCCTGACTTTGAGACTCCTAGAAATATCTTGGTTGGACCAGATGGCACTTTTCAGTCTTCCGAATGCCCAAGCAGCCAGTCGTGTACGTCTCTTCACGTCCTCTTCTATGGATGGAACTGTGCTGCCGAGAAAGACAAATTTTTCCACTTTCTCAATGTTGGTGTTGTTAAGTGAAATATCTTGATGATCCTCTGTCATGACTTTGCATTTTGTTGCATTGATTTTCATACCCCATCTTCTACAAGCCTTCTCCAGTTCATTTGTTGAGATTTGGAGGTTTTCAAATATGAGTTCCATCAGGGTGGTGTCATCTGCATATCTGATGTTGTTGATACCCAAATTCATGCTATGAAATATTTGTTTGTTAAATTTCTGCTCTTATTACAAAGAAGAGCTTGAAATATTTATCTTATGCCTTGTATAAAGTTTCAAATAAACGCATTGTAATGTTTCCATTACTTAAGCAGTGTAACGTTTGGAATAAATAAGCATTTAACATTGAATTAATAAAGATTTTGAACTTTATAAGGACCAGTTGAAATGTACGAAAGACCATTAGTGCCACGAAGAAAAAAAAACACACTTTCTACTAATCTGTTTAAACAGATTACGATATTTCTTCTAATCTGTTTAAACAGATTATAATCTGTTTAAACAGATTACGGTATTTCTACTAATCTGTTTAAACAGATTACGGTATTTCTACTAATCTGTTTAAACAGATTACGGTATTTCTACTAATCTGTTTAAACAGATTACGATATTTCTTCTAATCTGTTTAAACAGATTATAATCTGTTTAAACAGAATACGGTATTTCTACTAATCTGTTTAAACAGATTACGGTATTTCTATTAATCTGTTTAAACAGATTACAGTACTTCAACTAATCTGTTTAAACAGATTATAATCTGTTTAAACAGATTACGGTATTTCTACTAATCTGTTATAACAGATTACGATATTTCTTCTAATCTGTTTAAACAGATTATAATCTGTTTAAACAGATTACGGTATTTCCACTAATCTGTTATAACAGATTACGATATTTCTTCTAATCTGTTTAAACAGATTACGGTATTTCCACTAATCTGTTATAACAGATTACGATATTTCTTCTAATCTGTTTAAACAGATTACATTACTTCAACTAATCTGTTTAAACAGATTACGGATCCTACTTTTGTC